CAGCTCAGCCCCTTGGCCACGCAAGGAATGGCCAAGCACCACCAAGCAGGCAGAGCACCCCTCATGCCGTGTGTTGGCAAAGCCCAGGGGAGGTGTGAAGGTGGGATCCTCAGATCCTGCTGCTGTTCAGCCTGGTTGTTGGTCCAGCTGTGCATTCCATCCGTCTGTCCCATCACCTCCACTGGCGGCAGCCAGCAAGCCCTGGGGGTGTGGGATGACCCTGCCCTCCACTCCCCGTTCCTGCCAGGAATAGGCCTGGTGGCATGGGACAAAGGTGCAGGACAGTCATATCCATCCAGCACTAGCTTTTGGAGGGGGTTGTGACCCTGGGATGACCCATTAAGCAGGGTCAGGGGTCCCTGGAGTGTCCCCAGACAAGCTGGGCCCTGGCATGCTGGGGGCTACATCCCTGCTGAGTGTCCCAGATGCCAAGATGGGGACAGCAATTTGTCCCTGTTCATGGACACAGATGTGGCCAGCACTCCCAACACTGCTGCACCCCAAGAAGCACCCCAGAGCAGGTTGGGGTGTACCACACTGTGCCACTGACACCAGTGTGGGGCCTGAGGAGGCTCATACTGAGGGCATTGAGAGCGGGGGGTGCTGTGAGATGGGGGTACACAGGGTGCGAGGGCCTGGCTGTGCTGTGGGGGTCAGAGCCCACCTGTGTGCAGAGAGGGTCTGGCACTCTGTGCAGGCACCCAGCTCATGCAGCTCCCCCCAGCACTGGAACTGCCACCACACTCACCTCTTGGAGGTGGCTTTTATCTGGCCGAGGCTGTGGCGCAGGCAGCGAGGGCTGGAGTGGGCTCTGGAGAGGGCTGGAGTGAGCTCTGGAAAGCCTCAGTGTGGAGCAGGCTCGCTGGGGAGCATCTCACACAGGAGAGGAACCACAGCCCTGCAGAGCAGGTCTGGAGGGGCCCAGGCTCCTCTGCAGCAGCCAGAGCTCAACACCAGGGCTGTGCCTGGCTGGATCCCCCATCCTATCCACTGGCACCCGCAGGGCTGAGGACGGAGTCACAGCAAGAGGGACCGGCAGGTCTGGGGACATCCAGCAGGAGGTGCCGCGGGGTGCGGAGCAGTTACGCCCAAACGGGGGCACTTCTGTGCCTGCTTATGGAGCTGAATGTAGGGACAGTGCCGACACCACCACCCTTGGCATCCCTAGGCTGGCTGGGGGGGCTCAAGCAGTCCCCCACCCCATGGATCTACCCCCCAGGCTGGTTCCCAGAGCGCTCAGAAACCCCAGCCGTGCAGGGGTGCTCGCTGCGGCTGTGGCAGGAGCGGGTGCCCATGGGCAGAGCGTGCCATGCCCCGTGAGTCACGGCGCTGGGCGGCACCGAGCCCCGGCAGCACGGACCGTGTTCCCGTGGGAGAAGCGGCCACGGTGTCGGGGTGCAACAGGGCCGGGGCCACCTGCTCCTGCCCGGGCTGGTAATTGAGTCACCGGTTGCAGATTGATGGTTTAATTAAAACCCAATTAAAAACCTCATTGATCTTGTTAGCAACACGGGAAGGTGCCGGCTTTAGCTGGGATTACAGGGATTGTATGGCCGTCGATAGTGACGGGGGTGTTGGGGGCACCTGTAGGGTGGTGCTGGAGTCCCGGGGTGTCTGGGGAGAGCTGTACCCCTCACCCCGCTCCCTCCACGTGGGGAGCAGCCCCTGCCTCCCCCCACCCCCCTCCCGGAGCCCCAATTCCCCACGCAGGGAGGTGGCCCCGGGGACACCGTGTGCCGGCGGTGCCGTGTGCCCGCGCCTTGCGGCTGCGCCAGGCGAGGCCGGGGGGGCTGTGCTGTGGCTCGGTGCCACCCGTGTGCGTGGGCCGAGTCGCAGGCGCTGTCTGCCGAGCCAGCGCGCGTGTGCGTGGCCGTCTGGGCGCCGTGACTGTGCAGCGCTGGCTGCGTGGGGAGCGCTGCCACGGGGGGGCCGCGCTCAGCCCCCCCATCTCCCCCGCGGCGGAGCTGTCTGTCGGTCTGTCCGTCCCTCTGCCCATCGGGGTGCACCGGCCGCAGCGGTCGATGCGCCTTCGCCTCTCGCTGTGGTGCGGGGTGACGGGAAGGGGACTCGTAAATCAATGGCACTTTTTTGTTCCCTGGGTGATGGATGGGCCCCGGATGCGCCAAAAGGACGAAGCTGCTGGAGCCAAACAAAGAGCCTGGCTGTGCCGGGGGCTGTCCAGTGCTGGGGGGCACCGTGCTGTCACCACATCGAGGACACTCCGCATTGCCACCGGTACCACCAATGCGAGGTGCTGAGCCCAGCTCTGGCCCTGCCGCCCTCCAGGCCTCTCCAGCACCGCGGCAATGAGTCTCCACAGCCTGGGGGTCCAGGCAGGGGTCTGGTCCCCACCGTGCCACTGCCGCCGGGGCGTGCTGCAGTGCACCAGGCGCTCCCCAGCAGTGTGGGAGCCAGCGTGCAGCACACAGCTCGGATTTATGGCAGCAGATGGGAGCGGAGCGGCCGCCCGGCTCACCGCTGGCTGCCGTGTGCCAGGTAGCCAGGGTCCCACCAGGGTCCCACCAGGGTCCCTCCGGTGGGCGCTGAGCCCGGGGCCGGTGCTGCCAGGGGACATCCATCTGCCCAGCATGACAGGCTGCTGGAAGGTACCACTGCCTCGCCAAGCCCTGCTCTACAAACGCAGTCGTGCAGAAGTGATGTTGCCCGTTCTCCTCCCGCACTTAACCCTTCGGGCACTGCCAGAGCCCACCATCCCCACCGGCCATGCCATGGCTGCCGGGGTCTGGGATATTGAGGGCCCATCCGAGCCCAGGCTGCTGGTGCTTCCCAATAACTGTGGAGTTGGCAAGGATCAGGCAGCCCATGGCTGCTCTGGGATGCATGATGGTGAGAAAGGAGGCAGAATCCCTCTCTCAATGTTTGTTCCTGCCCTTCCACCCCAAACCAGGGCCCACAGGCTGCCTGGATGGTGCTGTCAGCAGATCTTGGAGCACTTGGGCCATTGCACTGAGGGAGCTGTTGGATTTGGGGGTATCTAGCTGCATGAGGTGCTGCTCTGCAGTGACTGTGCAGGAGCCAAGCGTGGCAGGGCCACGTTGTTGTGGCCAAAGCTGCTACTGGGGTCGCTTGGATGTGCCTCGGGCTGTGGTGGCCCTGTGGCTCTCCCCATGTGGGGCCATTCCCCAACCCCTCCCAGTTTATGATGATGCCTGTGGGTTCCCGGCATGCTGTGGCAGCTGGCAATGCCCGTGGGATTCACTACCACACCACCTGGGGCTCCTGTACCCTGCCATGGGTGCTGGTGTCCCCCAGCCCAGGGGAGACTTTGGTGCCTCGTTAGTGAGGCTGTTTATCAGCAGCCACACTTCTTAATGAGCCACGGCTTAACGAGCCCCAGCATGGGGTCCCAGGGGACTGTGCCTCAGCGCTGGGTGCCACAAGGGAATGGGGGTTCCCGCTCCTCAGCACCCCGTGACAGACTCGTGACACTTCCTCCAGTCCCGCTGTCCCATGGCACAGTCACAGCCCGGCCGTGGGGAGCCCCAGCTGCCGGTGCCTGCCCGGGTGTGGGGCAGCTGCTATTGGGGTACGCCGGCGTCCCAGCTCTGCGTCCCGCGTGGAGTTAATTGCAATTTTCTCCTTGGGGCCATCTCTTTAATAACAAGCCTTTTTCTCCCCCCGCCCCCCTTCCCACCACATCAAAGGGGAAAGATGAAAGGTCCCGGCGCCCGCTCAGCAAGGGTGGCTGCCTCAGCACCTTCCCGGCGGAGCAGTTGCCGGCGGGTGCCGGGATGGGCTGCGGAATAGCGGCTGCGCAGCGAGGGAGGGGCCGCGTGAGGCTGCGTTCCCTGTCCCACGGCTAATGAGCTCTGCCGTCAGCCCCCCATCCCTGTCGCCCCCCGGTGCCGGAGTCGGCGCTTCTTGAGCCCCCTTTGCCGCCCGACACCGGGTCCCGCTATGGTTCGGTGTCCGGCGCTCGGCTCCGGGTGCCGCGGGCGCTGGCGGAGCGCCGGGGCTCCTCAAACAGCGCCGGGGGCGATGGTGCAGGGTGGGGCGTCTGCACACGCAGCCCTGCCCGCTGCCTGCCCAGCCCTGCCGGGGACACCCGGGGAGCCTCTCGGCTCCGGGAGGGGCGGCGGGGCTCCCCCTCCCCAAGGCCGAGGGGACGCGGAGCGATGCTTTGGGGGCTCGCGGTCCGGGGTTTGCCCTGAGAGGTGGGAAAAGGGCCGTGATCCGGAGCGATGCGCCGTGAGCTGGAGCTCCACAGGGGAGCTGGGCCGTGTGCCGGGATGCTGCGGTCCGTGTGCTGCGGGATGCGGGCCAGGGACCCCCGAGGCAGCGCTGAAGCGGGAGGCGGAGCACGGTCCGGTCAGGGTCCGGTGCCGAGCCAGCTCCGGGTGGTAATTAATTGGCAGGAGCAGCGGGTCAGCACGGCGGCGAGGATTACCGCGGCCGGTATTTCCGTCGGGCGCGGATTAGGAGCCGGCGGAGCCTCTCCTGAGTGGATCTGAGGGGATTGCTGCTCCTAATCAATGTAAATGAGGCTCCCCCAGGGCCACCCTTTATGGCATTAACGAACTAACGGGATTAGCCAGAGCAGGGTGAGAAATCCTGGCTCCGAGCTGCGGCGCGTGCCAGGGCCGCGGTGGGCGGCAGCGGTGGGTCGGCTCCAGGCTGCTGGAAATGGGGAATGCCAGGGAATGCCAGGGAATGCCGGGGTCCCTCGCACACCCACGGACTGTGTCCCGTGGAGACTCTGATGCCCTTCTGGGTCTGTCTGTCCATCGTCTCCTCTTTGAGGCTGTTGGCACGTTCCCGACAGACCCAGAAGCACCGGCTCGTATGCCCGTGCTCTCGCCCATGCCCCCTGTGTGTGTGGATTGGCGCCCGTCCCCAGCAGTGCCTGTCCCCGCCGGGCCAGCCGTGCCCTCCCGCACGGTGATTCTGCGCCACGGGTACGTGAGGCTCAGGTCGTGCAGGGGTCCTACCGTATCCCGCTCCAGACAGAGACTGAACAGAGGGAATCTCCGTTCCCAGAGTTCCAGCCTTCGCTGCAACCTGCCCCTTGTCCAGCCTCGGGGTCCCCTTGGAGGACGGGAACCCTGGGGAGGTGCCGGGCGTGTCCCTGACCTCCCGGCCCTTCTTTCCCTTGCAGCCTGCGGCGGGAGGGCTACACGGTGCAGGTGAATGTCAACGACTACCTGGACATCTACTGCCCGCACTACAACGCCTCGGTGCCCGAGCACCGGCTGGAGCAGTACGTGCTGTACATGGTGAACGCGGAGGGGTACCGCACCTGCAACACCAGCCAGGGCTTCAAGCGCTGGGAGTGCAACCGGCCCCACGCACCCCACAGCCCCATCAAGTTCTCAGAGAAGTTCCAGCGCTACAGCGCCTTCTCACTGGGCTACGAGTTCCGTGCGGGGCAGGAGTACTACTACATATGTACGTGGGGCGCCGCGGCGGGTCCCCCCAAGCCCCTGATGGGTCCCCCCCACCCAGCTGGGCCCCTCTGCATCCCCAGGAAGGACCCCCTTGGCTGGTTCCCCCTCAGAGTGGGCACCTGGAGCTCTGGGAGGGGTTGAAGGAGCGAGGGAGCAGGGGGGTTACATGATGAGGGGAACAGATAGGGATGTGGAGAAAGGTGGGGGTGTGGATGGGGGTGCCAGTGCATGATGGGGCGCTGGGGAATGATGATGGAGGATGCAGGATCAGGGTTCAGGGGCTGCTGCTGCTGCTGCAGGATTGCAGTGTTGGTGCCAGGTGCCAGTGCCGGGTTGAGATGCTGGGGCTGATGGTTCAGGGCCGGGGTGCTGGTAACAGGGCATTGCTGCAGGATTTGGGGTGCTGCTGCATTCCCCCAGCCCAGAGTGCTCCCCTGGGCAGGACCAGACCTCGCTCTGCCCAGACCCACCAAGCCTCGGGGTGCCTGGGGTTGGGGTCTCTGCCATGGATTCCCTCTCAGCACGCTCTTTCCTTGCAGCCACGCCGACACACAACCACCGCCGGGCCTGCCTGAAGATGAAGGTGTTTGTCTGCTGCGCCTCCAGTAAGTACCCCCGTGCCCATCCCGGGGGCTGTGGGCAAGCGGGGGCGCCGAGGCTGGCCGGTGGACCCCCCATCCCTCCTGGGGGGTCGGGGGGTGCTGCGGTGTAGGGCATCCAGGGAGCGTGACCCCCATCCCCTCTCTCCCTCCACAGCGTCGCACGCCGGGGAGAAGCTGGCGCCCACCCTGCCCCAGTTCACCCTGCGGCCCGAGGTGAAGATCGAGGACCTGGGTGAGTCAGGCACAGCCCCCGGCCCCGCAGCGCCGTGTCCCCGCCCCGCGCCGCAGCCCCTGGGGCAGCCCCCGCTAAGGGGTGGGGGTTCGGGGCCGCCCCGCTGCCCTCCTCACCCTCTCGCTCCTCCCCACAGAAAACTTCAACCCGGAGATGCCGAAGCTGGAGAAGAGCATCAGCGGCACCAGCCCCAAGCGGGAACACTTGCCCCTGGCCGTGGCCGCCGCGCTCTTCCTCATGACTCTGTTGGCCTCGTAGCTCCCGGTGCCCGCGGGGCCCCGGCCAGCGCCGCTCTGCCGAGTGCGGCCCCCCCGACCTGCTGAGAGCCAGCGGGGACCCACCGCGACACCGCCACCCCCTGCCCGGAGAGCCGCCCGCAGAGCTGCCCCGCGGGGCAGGGAGCACGGCACGCACCGATCCGGCTGGACTCGCCTCCCATCCCGCCAGCGGATGCGGCCACGTCCGCAGGGATGCGGCTGAGCGAGCTGCGCCTCCCACCGACACCGGCCCGGGCCGCGGGGTCCTGCCCGCAGCCGCCCCGGTGCCCCGTGGTGCCCCGTGGCTGGGGGGGAGCCCGATGAGAGCAGGGACCCCCGGGGCCGGGCAGTCTGTACATACCCATATAGATCTATACATACTGTACAGAGAGCGACTACAGAGATATATCTATACTGTACCATAGGCAGCGGCGCCGGCCCCGGGCTGGCTTGTACATAGTCGAACGTGTTGGATTTTCCTCGTCTTCTGTGAAGACCTGACCTATGCAAACGCACAGACACTTTTTGGGGAAAAACAAAACAAAACATTCTCGATCTTTTTTTCAAGTGCTTTGGCTGGTGATTTTCATATTCTGCTCTTAGTCTATAAAAAAAATAATAAAAGGATAAAAAAAGGGATCCATGTCACGGTGGCGTGCAGCACTCCCCGCCCTCGGAGGGGCTCAGGCCCTCCCGGGGGGGCTCCGGCCGGGACAGGCGTTCAGGAGAGGGCTGACCTGCACCGTGCCGCCCGCCTTGCCAGGCACGACAGCTCCAGCCTCTGGCAAGGGGATGCGGGGCGCTCCCCACGGCTGGCTCTGCTCCCCACCGACCCCCCAGCGCCGACAGGGAGCGACTGGCAGGGACTTCCCACAGGAATGCAGCGTGGACAGCAGGAGCGCTTGAAGGTAAGGGCAGCGCGGGGGGGCCTTGGCTCGCAGCCCTGGGGGTGCTGGGGGGCGTTTAGGAGCAGCGGGGGCATGAGGGCCTTCCTTGCCATCCTCAGCAGCTGCACAGGGTGAGCAGACACGGAGCGCTGGCAACCCCATGGGAACTCCGGCATCACCCCCTGGCGCGTCTGGCTCTGCCGGGCATGCCGGCTCCTGCCTGTTTTGGGGGGATCTGGCACACGCCGGCGGCTCCTGCAGGATGGGGGACGCCGTCATCTCCCCCCCAGTGCCTCCAGCCAAGGGGATGTGGGGCTGTGCCTAGGGATGGGATCACACCTAAAGGAGGCTGTTCCTGTGGCACCCAGACCCCCACAGCCCCCACAGCCACAGGCGAGCAGCCGTGGGCTCCTGACCCTGCACTCTGCTGGGCTGGGCTGGGGACCCAGTGCCCCCAGGGAGGGGCAGCCACTCTCCCCAAAGAGCAGCAAGGGCTGAGGGGCTTCGGCCCCGCTCCCGGTGTGGATTCCTGGGGAAGGGGGTCCTCACAGCCCCGGAGAGCAGGGCAGCCGCTCTCCCCCACCCAGCAGGCACTGCTGGGCGGCGGCTGGGTGTCCCGCCGGCCCGGGCTTGTCCGGGTGCGGGAAGAGCCGACGAACCCGTCAGACGGGTTCTGGGAGCCCTCCCAGCAGGCGCCGGGTTCCCCGCGTCCCCCCCTCGAGCTCTGACAGGCCTGGACCGACATGGGGCTGAGGTCTCTGCCATGGACCCCCGGGAGGGGTCTTGAAGTGCTGCTGACAGCTCTCTGCTGACCCAGGGCAAGGTGGGCATGGTGTGACTGGGGCAGCAGCACCGCCAGTGCCAAGGGCCATATCCAGCCATGTGCTGATTGCCAGGGACTGGCCACAGCAGCTGTCCCAGTGTGGCACCATGCTGGTGGCACGTGGCACAGTGAGCATCACACAGCTTAGGTGGCCAGTGCCCTGGGGGGGTGCAAGAACTGGAGTCATTGCCCTGGCACAGAGAGCTCTGCCTGCAGGATCCCTCCTGCCACTTGCCTTGACCCTGGCACTGCTGCTTGTGCCTGCCTGGCACTACCGATGGCTCAGTGGGCACCGGCCACCGGGCTCAGGTCTGCTTCATGCCCTAGGACTGAGCACAGTGGGACAACCCACAGCCACCAGGAGTCTTCTGGGGTGCTGATAAAGGGGATTCCCAGGCCCAGCCGGCCCAAGTCAAGTGGGGGCCCTTGTGCTGAGGTTTGGGTGCCCCTTGGGTATTTTGGGGTTTCACAGCCTTGGCAGCAGATCCAGGTAGGAGATATGTGCTGGGAGCAGCCATGTGGCATGAGGCTCTGCCTCACCACAGGGCAGCTCCCCTGCCCAGTCAGGGCTCTCTGGCCACAGGCATGAGCTCTTGGCACAGCTGGACAGCCCTGGGGCTGCGGCTCTGCCCCCACCAGGCTGGCACCAGGCCATGCCTACCTGCCAGGCTGCACGCAGCTGGCACTGCACGTCACCGCGGCCTTCGCTCCCGGCCACAAACTGGACGGCTCCTCTTCCTCCCCCAGCCTCGCACAGGTGACGTCAGCCCAGCCAGGGGCCGGGGCACTCCCGGGTGTCCCCAGCCAAGAAACCATAAACACTTTGTCACGAGTTCCACGGCCTCTGGCCTGCCCCACACGGAGCACCAGCGATGTTTACAGCACGAAACGGCTTCACCTTTGTCCCGCCGTCATGGGCGCAATCACAGCCCATTGTCACCAGCTCCCAGGTCCCATGGCCATGACCACGTGCGCCATGTGTGCACCACCACTGGCACTCCCAGTGCCGCTGTGGGTACTCACCCACCCTACCCGGGGTGCTGCCCACCCTGTGCTCCACTGTTGTGTCCCAAGGGAGGTAATGGGGCACCTCTAGCCCCAGCTTGTCCCTCAGACTGTCCCCAGCAGGGGACATGAGCTTGTCTTTCCACTCCGCCAGTGCTCTGGGCCAGGCATGGTGGTGACACTGGTTCTTGGTGTGTCCACATGGCCTCACTCCCAGCCCCTTCCCCGTGTCCTGGTGGCTCTGTTACAGGGCTGGGCTCATAGTGGATGGGACAGGGGAGCCCCTTGGCCAACGGTGTTGGGTACCACATCCCAGCGCCACATCCAGCGTGGTGCCCCAGGAGGTTTTTATGCCCCTGGCAGGCCCAGCACAAGGCTCAAGCACCAGGGGCTGCCCAGCCCTCCCCACGTCACCACTCCCTGCCTTGGTTTCCCCAGGCACAGTTTGTCCCTGATGTGGAAGGGGCAGTACCAGGGCGATGCCGGGACCATGGGATTGGCTCCCACCACCCTCTGGCTGCACCCATCCCCGTGGCCTGCACGTGCCATGCTCCAGCTCTGGCATCCCAGGGGTGTTCCCAGGAGGTGCTCCCCTGTACAAGCCGCGGCAGCGCCGGCATCCCGGGAGCAGAGGCCTCGCACTGTCATTATGGATGATGTCAGGCCTGGCCACAACCAGGGAGGATGAGAGCAAAGCAGCCAGTCCCCCTCCCTGGGAGCGAGGGTGTGGGGAGAGAGGCTGGGATGCAGGTGGGATGTGGGGCACTCAGCCCCACGGCCTGGGCCCATAGGATGCCTTGGCTGCGGGAGCCACAGGCGCTCTCGGGTTGCGGTGCCGGCGCCTGCCGGAGACCCTGCCGCGTGCCAGGGGAGCGCTCCGCGCCCGCTGCGGCACAGGGCATGCAACATTACCCACAATCAATGGATCATTATGGAATAAACAAGAGGAAAGTTGTTTTGCAAATGCGGCTGAGTTATCGCTTCACAACACGCGGCGAAGCGTCGCGCGCCGTCCGGGACACGGATGGATCCGTGTCAGAGCAAATGGGAGCCGACAGCGAGGCACCGCGCTCCCGCCAGGCAGTGGCAGCGTGCCCACTGTGCCCACCCCGGCTCTGCACCCACAGCCGCCTGTCCTGCACCTACAGCTCCAAATCCTGCACCCACAGCCCCCAGTGTGCACCCACAGACCCCTGTGTTCACCTACAGCCCCCCATCCTGCACCCACAGCCCCCCATCCTGCACCTACAGCTCCACATCCTGCACCCCCAGCCCCTCAGCGTGCACCCACAGCCCCCCA